TTGTGACTTTCATATCAAACCTCTTAGGAAGAGATTTAAGGATTTTTCTGGTCAGGTTTTTTTTCGATATTTTTTTACCAAGAGCAAATGAGTGATTGACTATGTCACAAAGATGAACGTTAAAGCCAGTAATAGTTTTGTCTTCTTTCTTCCTCATATTTTCAAATTTGGTGGTTAGGGTTGAAGTTTGACATGAATAAGTACCTTAGTGAGCATTCTTGAGTGTCTCTCAGGCATCTTTAGCACTTTTACAGGTATTAATGAGTCTAAAGATGTTTTTGTCAACTCTGTTGTAAATGGAATTAAGAGCACGAGAACTACCATGAGCTTTTTCATCTTCATCTTTTGACCAATCTTCTTTTGGCTTCAGAGATTGTGTGTCATCTTCAGCAGTAACCTATGGGGTGTCCATCCTTTTAGAATTGCTTTCCAAGTTTTATCATTCATTGATTTAAGGAAAGCAACCATGAAGGTCTTCCAATAATCATAGTTTGTGCCATCTAGAATATGTGGTCAATTTACAAATCCTCCATCTTTAGAATTATCCATTTTGATTTATAAATCTCCTAGAACTCACCCACTAGAATAGGGTGACTGCTATTATGCCAATTGAAATTTTGTTTGTCAAATGCCAAGATGACAGACACAATGTTGTACCAATGTGTATGACAAAGGTAATATGTAATATTACAAATAATAAGAAAAAGAATGACACATGAATTGGTAACCTAGTTAGGTTCAAAACCACCTACGTCTAGAGGGTGTTAACCTAAGAAATAAAATTCACTCTTAATAGTAAAAAAAACAAATTGGTTTGATTTGAACTCTTCTAGTTCAATGCCATTTTCCTAATACTACCCGTAAATTTTTATCTAGAACACCCCCTTAATATCAGACACATCTCACTTTCTCTCAAGAACTCTCGCAACTGTTTGGATAGTTATAATAGATTAAGAATGATGGTATAAGTTACAACTCAAAATAATATATTCTTTAACATACTAATAAGACTCAAACATAGAGTATTACAAAACAAAACAAAAAATAGACTCAAACAATTAAACATGCATAACTTTAATGTGCAAGGTATGAGTATTTACAATGGATAACTCCTTCTTAAATAGCAATAAGGTCCACCTGCAAATCCAATTAGATTTTCCATAAGTAACCAATTCTTCACTATGTTGATTTGCAGTCTTTGATAGGTTAAAGCTTAATCATATTAGATTTGATTTATTTTAATCTTGCTGCAATGAACTTTTGAGAAAACTTCCATATTCTAAATAGCATATAAAAGATTTAATCATGATTAGATAAATATAGAAAAAATCTTCAATCAGCACGAGATTCACCAAACAGATTGTCTCGCAATCTGGGGAACATTATGCTCACATGTTGCTTCCTGGTTTGAGCACATAGAGACGAAATGTCTCACACAATTTTATGACATATTTATCCACATGTTGTCTTTAAAATGAAACCAATCATAAGTAACATCAATTAATCTCTTTAATTATCCTCTAAATACAAAAGAAAATTAGTTTTTCATTTTCATTTGTTGCTACATTTACCGTTGTTTTTAATCCTATTATATAATCTAAAAAATCATTTATTCACCATTTTTAGCTTTTTCTTGCAAATTCCCAAAATTTGAATTTGAATCCCAAAATTCTTAATGACAAACTTTGTACCCTTTGACCTTCCTCAAAGACAATTTAGAAGGTTTACCAAAGGTGATTTTCATAATTAACCTAAAATCATATTCCTCTTTGATGATGATTTTTTTTATTTTCTTCCGTTCACTCTTTTACCTTGTCATTTTGGTGATTCATGTGTCACCTTGCATATTGCTTGTATAAGACTTAAAGACCAAGTTTGATAGCATATTTACCTTTCATAAATCTTCATTTCTCTACCTCTTATCACTATCTCAAACCCTAACAATTTTTGTTACTTTCCCAACCCAAAACTCTAGCATTTTAATATAAATAGAGGTCACTTTGTTGCTATTTATGATATTTCATATGAAATAAAAACTGATTAATCATGTTTGTGCATTATTGGAATACATGTGTTTAGGTTCATCCTTTTATTAAACAAATGCTTGATTGTTTTAAAAAACAAATGCTTGATTATTTTAAGTTCATCCTTTTATTAAATTGAAAAAGAATTAATTAGACACACATTGCTTTTATCCTTAAGTGTTTTTGAAACAAGTAGTACAATTTATTTTAAGTCATTTTCCTTACAAATAAAATTGGATTAAAAAATAATTAATTAGATGTACATCATTTTTATTTTCGAGTGTTCGGACACATATCGTACCGCTTGTTTGTTCTAACAGTTGTCTTCCTACTAAAAACAATCATAACAATCCAATAGACAATATTTTTCTAGTTTTATGCGATCAAACCCTTTTTTCTTTAAAATAAAACAACATACAAAATTTTTTTACATACAAATTACGTAACTTTGAATTCTTCATCGCACTGGAAAATACGTTGGAACAAAAATTAAATTTTGTCAAACCAAATAATTAAAAAAAACTTTTTTTTATTTATATGTTATATTTCTTATTTGTTGATGAGTAGAAAATCAATATAAAAAGGTTAACAATATCTTTTTAAAAATTAATTAGATATAATTATTTCTATGTCGCAGGATACAAACACTTTTACTATTATAATCGACTACTCAACTTAAATTTAGTTTTATCAACTTTTCTCCTATTTAAATAAATTGGTTGTCTTTTTTAATTAAATTTTAATGACGACTGTATTGTTTTCAAACATGCAATATTCAAGGCACACACAATGCATATGTTTATTATTAATGAGTGTGAACTTTTGTTAAAAATTTAATTTTATGGATGAAGTTTTCTAAAGAAACCATTAATTTATAGTAATTATAGGATAACGTATAAATTATACTCTAGTATAACTAAAATAGCATAACTTCACATTGAGTATTTTTCCAATGTTTTTGAATGAAAATATGCAGAATTTTTTGAGAAGTCTAAAAGTGTGTTTAGTTTGGAGTAAATGAAAGGGAGGGAAAAGAAATATTTTTAATTAGATATATTTGTTCAAATTTTATGACGGAGGGAGAGGGGAGGAGAGTAAAACCACGGTTTAAAACACAATTTTTTCTCTCTAAATTCAGAGATTGGACGGAGAAGGGAGAGACTCTAAATTTTAATATTTAAAAAATTATTATATTTATTAAAATATTTTCAATTTCATTTTAATATTTTGAAATTATTCTTTTTTTTTTGTATTACTATTTCTCTTTTGTGTTATTTTTTCGGTTGTTTCTATCAATTTATTATACTTGTTTTTTACTTTTAAATTATTCTTTCCTATTTTTTAATATAAAATTATAATCGCTTTATTTATTTTATAGTTTTTTATTTTTACGTTTATTAATGTTTGTTTGTTTTTTCATTTATTTTGTTATCCTATTGTATTTTTTATATTAAATTTTTAACCATTTATTTTATATTTTTGTCTATTATATATATATATATATATATATATATATATATATATATATATATATATATATATATATATATATATATATATATATATATATATATATATATATATATATATATATATATATATATATATATATATATATATATATATATATATATATATATATATATATATATATATATATATATATATATATATATATATATATATATATATATATATATATATATATATACAAAATTTAGTATTAAATTATTTTTTAATTTTTTTATTAGATAGTTCATCATGATTTAAAAATTATTATCAGCAAATAATTTAATTTGTGTCTGAAAAATTATATTGTGAATTAAGTGTACTTAATATTTTTAATATTGTGTAGTAAGTTTTAACCTTTTAAATATCCATCAATATAAATTGTGTTTAATAATTTATGCATATGTTATTATTTATTATTAAAAAATATTTATGATTCTTTTTTATTTTTTTGGTATCCTATAATTTATATAGATCATAAATATAAAAATATAAATTATTAATAAAGACTTAAATAGTCTGTTGATCCCAGTAAATTAGTGAAATTTGAAATTTGGTTCCGATAATTTATTTATTTTGGTTTGAGATCCTATATCTATTTTTATTTTTTTTGCAGATTTTCTTGTGAATTTTTATTTTAGGACTCCACCCAAAAAGTTAGATATAGAGATTTAAGCCAAAAAAATAATTTAAATTACAAAAGCTAAACTAAAAAAACTAGTGTTGTCCCTCCCATTATATCATATAATTATTATTATTATTATGAGAAAAAAATGAATTGTATTATATCCTTGTAAATTTATAATATTTAGTCAATATGCTATTTTATTTTGAATTTTTAGTGAAGTCTCGTATGTAACGTTTATAAAATTATAATATTTAGTCAAAATACTATTTTATTTTAAAGTTTTAGTGAAGTTTCATATGTAACGTTTATAAGAACTTGCTTTTGATCTAGAATTTTTTATTGTTAATTAATTTAATTCAGTATTTGTGATAATATACTTGCAAGTGCGTTGAATTTTGCTAATGAGAAAAAACATTTTGATTAATTATTAAAATGATTACAATTAAGAAAACATAAAGAAAATACATTTTTATTCAAATGAAAGAATTCCAAAATATTTTCAAAATTAATAGTATTTTTTCACATGTTTGTAGAACTGCTATTAAAATCTTGCAAAATTAAATATGAAATTGGAAATGAAACAATTTAATATAATGAATGTATTAATTGCTAGAATGGATAACTATTGAAAAATTGAGCAATGGAGACTTTAGTTTGGCAAGTAATTAAATTATATATTTTTTTAATTAGTATATTATATTAAAATATTATTCCATTTATTTATTTATTTATTATAATATAATATAAAAATGATAGGATTGGCCCCATATATGTGTATATATATAAGAGGGTCTATCTTTGTAGCACATACATAAATAAATACATAATTAGGAGAAGCAATGAGCACTGTGAAAGCTCCAATGAATATCGAATCATCAGATGATGATGGCAGAGTCAAGAGAACAGGTACTCTCATAACAATGATCTTCAGAGAGGGAAAATAGTATACATAAGATAATGAGGCATGTTAACAATAAATTCAAACTATATCTTATAAGTTCATCCTGATTTAAAATCCAACTCAACTCGAAGATCCGTTTTAATTTAATAATTTTGGGTTAGTCTTTTTCCCGTGTCATGCAAAAAATGGAAGAAAAAAATTGTTCAAAAATAAACCCGATATTGGGTTGGGACGAGTTCGGGTTGATCCTTGAATTATTCAACCTGTTCTAATATTATGAAGGCATATGTAGTACTATTTATTTATTTAGTTTATTGGTATATTTAGATTATTTCAAATTTTCAATATATTTTTCCATTTCCCACCTTATAATTTAACATATGCACTAGGTGAGTACTAAGTACACATCTTCTCACTTCTCAACTTTCACATTTCTCTAATTCTCTTACATCATGTTTTTTATTTTACATCTTCTTATTATGTTTTAGTGAAAATAAAAGGGCGATGACATATATAGAATTACATCATATTTTTTATTTTTAAAAATTGACTTTATTTATTGTTTTTCATTGATGCTAATTATTTTATTCATATTTTTTATTTAAATAAAAAATTTAAAATATTATAATAAATTTTTTAAGTAATTAATTTTTTTCATATATTTTGAGGCAACTCGATATCGTTTTACATTAATTCGATCTAAATTAACTTATATATTATCGGATTTTTTTGAATTTAAGTGCGGATTAAGATAATTAAAATTGCTCGATCAAAGTTTAGAATAAAATTAGGATTAGTCATAACCCTTTTCAACCCGTCTCTTACTCACCCTTAAAATAAGAATTGAAAATGTAAAAGAAAGTTTAACATACCATCAAATAAAATTGAATTTGAAAACAAAAAAAATTAAATTGAATTTAAATAATTTAGTTTTTGTAAAGATAAAAAGTTTTAATTTCCAAATATTAGTTAATTGGATCAATGATAAAATGCAAAATAGTTTACTTTTAAAATCTCCAAAATATTTAGCAATCTTGACAGAAAATTTTTTAGCATACTAATTTTCAAAAGTTTAAAAAACTTGTGCTCATTTAATAAATCATAGATAAAACTATGTAGTATTATAATAGTTTAATGAATATATATCAATATAACCAACCAACATAGTCTTTGGGATAGAATTAGAGTTTGTCTTAATTCTACTTTACAAATTATATCTTATTAAATCAGTTTATAAGATGAGGGGTATCACTTATGAGTTATATTTTTAATTAATGTGGGATTTAAATTTTTCTCAATACATCTAATCATGCTTAACACTATTAAACTTAGTGTTTGGATATAAACGGTGGGTGACCTAAATTATAGATATATGAGACTTGGTTTTTTCTATGCACCTCCTTGCGTTGTGGCCTGAATCGATAGGCTCTAATACCGTGATAGAATTAAAATTTGGGGTAACTCAACCCTACAAAATTGGCTTGTAGGTGAATAATGTCACTTTATATAAATTCTTTGTAAATTCTATTTTCAACCAAAATAAGATTTGAATTTTTCCTAATTCTCCTCAACACACTTTTACATAGATGAATGTGCTTTGAAATATGGTGTTTGGATTTTGCATAACTTATTCGAATGACAAATCTGATTTTTCCTCAACTTATTTGAATATATGTAACGAACATAGTCTTCTTAACCCAATATCTAATTTTATTTTATTTTTTGCATATATTGTTTTTGTCTATAAAATTTAATTCAATAGACAAATCATTTCTCATATCTTAAAAAGTGTCTAAGAATTTTTTTTATGTACAACATTATAGGAAATGTGTGGACTGCTACCACACACATAATAACAGTGGTAATTGGAGCAGGAGTTTTATCTTTGTCATGGGCCATGGCTCAGTTAGGATGGATAGCTGGTATATTCATTGTGCTGCTCTTTGCGTCTATTGCTCTTTTCACTTACAATCTTGTAGCCGATTGCTATAGGTTTCCAGATCCAGTCACCGGAAAAAGAAATTATACTTACATGCAAGCTGTTAAAGTCTATTTAGGTATACTCTTCTACTATTTACTCGCATAATACGTCTGAGCACAATTCTTAACATATTTTAATTTCCTTTACTTTATATTTCAATTCGATAATAGGTGGAAGAATGTATGTGATTTGTGGACTCATTCTTTATGCAAAACTCGTTGGAATCACAGTGGGCTATGTAATAACTTCATCCAGAAGTTTAGCGTATGTTATTACATTAAAAAAAAATTACTTTGACTATTTTTAACTAACTATATGCATCTTTACATTAGTACAAAATATTTTAAAATACAAAATTGATTTATATTTTTCTTTCTTGAGGTTTATGACAATCTATGTAACATATTTCAGTGCAATAGAGAAATCTTTTTGCCTTCGTAGTAAAGGACATCAAGCTGATTGCAGGAGTTCTTATAATCCATACATGATTGGTTTTGGGACATTGCAACTTTTCTTGTCTCAAATTCCAAACTTTCACACATTGACATGGCTTTCATCAGTTGCTGCAATCACCTCATTTGGTTATGTATTAACAGCAATTGGTCTTTGTCTATCAGTAATTATTTCAGGTACTTTTCACCATTAATTTATTTAAAATAGTTTACTATCTATTTTCTTTAATAATAATGTTTAGTGTATATTATATAGTTTTTAATTTTGAAAATTTGATAACCTTCAACTCGGTATATATTTGATTGAATATGATTCAAACTTATAATTTTTTGTATAATCACAAAGATATTTTGGTAAGAACAGGAAAAGGTGCACTAACCAGCATATTCGGAACAAAAGTAGGGCCAGAACTTTCTGTTGCAGATAAAATTTGGAGGACTTGTAGTTCATTCGGAAACATAGCACTTGCTTGCAATTTTGCAACAGTTATTTACGACATTATGGTATAAAGTCATGATTTACTTATTTTTTATTTTTTATGATCGTCAATTAAAATATGATATACGTTGTGTATAGATAGGTTTAATACAAGAATTGTTGGCACTTAGAACCTAAGATCCATAGATGAGCACACTCTTAGGTCTCAGACCTTCTTACTAGTCCAACACTAGAGAGTTTTATTTGTTATACTTGAATTTGATTATTCCATTATTTTGTTTAGGATACATTAAAATCACCTCCATCAGAAAGTAAACAAATGAAACAGGCCAACTTAATAGGGCTCTCAACGATGACAATGATGTTCCTGATATGTAGTTGTCTTGGCTATGCTGCTTTTGGTGATAAAACTCCTGGAAATATTTTTGATGGATTTTATGAACCCTACTGGTGGGTTGTATTTGGAAATATATGTATATTTATCCACATGGTTGGAGCATATCAGGTTGGATCATTATATTTTCAGTTTAATAATCGAATACCATTACAATTTCAATTTAATAATTGAATAAATTTGTGTGCATATTGTTTTGTATATTATTTTGTTCAAGTTTTAATGTATATATTACCATAATTTTATGTTATGTTACAGGTGATGGCTCAACCATTTTTTTGCATCATTGAAATATGTGCTAACACCGCGTGGCCTGATTCAAATTTCATAAACAAGGATTATCAAATTAACATGGGCAATTTGAAAATCAATATAAACTTGTTTAGGCTAATTTGGAGGACGATATTTGTGATAATGGCAACAATTCTTGCCATGGCAATGCCATTTTTCAATGAAATTCTTTCTCTACTTGGAGCATTTGGATTTGGACCCTTAGTTGTTTTCTTCCCTATACAAATGCATATTGCCCAAAAGAGCATAAAAGTACTATCATTGAAGTGGTATAAGCTCCAACTTTTGAATTGTTTGTGCTTCTTTATTTCTCTTGTTGCCGTGGTAGCTTCAGTTCATCAGATTATCCAAAATTTATACAAATTCAAAAATTTTGCTTATAAAGATTAGCATATTTTTAAGAGAAATAAATAAAGCTAAATTATGTTGTTTTTCCTTTGACACCTCTTGTATTCTTATGTTATTTCATGCACTAAAGCTAAATTATTTTGTCTTTCCTTTATCTTGTTTTTCTCAACGGTTTCTATCGGTACAACAAATCTAGTTCAAATTACATCAATTTTCATTATTTTAAAATAATAATATAAATTTTATTAAATCAAAAGATTAAATAAAAAATATCTCATACACTTTGATAAAAATTTAAATTTAAATCAATATTTAAATGGTACAAAGATGTAACTTTAGTAATCTATTGACAAAAATATAATGTGAAAAAGAAAATATTGTTTAAGATGAAAATAATATATAACTTTGTTGGGAAGAATTTATCTTCTAATATTAATGATAGACTTTTTAACACAAATGTATCTTATTGAAGACTCGATCAAATATTAAATTGTTATGTATTTGAAATCTAATTAAATGTGTATTTGAAAAACATTATATTACAAGATCATGGAGAATCATGTGAACCCTAAGAATCTACTTAGATATTTTAAAATAAACAAAGTGAAAAGTGGAATCGAATGTAACTAAAAATGAAGAAAAAACAAAGCATAATGAAATATATATTTCATTATATTGTTTGGGTATTTTATGATGAAACATAACAAGTTTCTCATTCCATTATTTGTAAAGTGGATGGAATGAAAAAAGTTACAATGTGGAAATTCTATTTTGGACTAGTACAAAACTTTTAAATATTTCACCTTAGTAGACCTTATGCTTGAAGATTGTGGACTATCATAAGATATAAGAATAAGAATCTGGTCTGGAACATGTAGCTTATAGACCAATTTTGGATCCTACAACTCACTAATCAAGCCCAAAAATGTGAGCATCTGCTTAACCTAATATGATTTCCTTAGCAAAAAATACAGGGGAATCGGTTTTCACCTCAACGTTCTCACGCATCACACAATGATGTATTACCAATTACTATCTAAGCTTAATATCCATATCAGAGGCCTTGATTGTGGAGAAAACATGTGTTATCACTCATATAAATAGGAAGTTAAACACAAATTCCGATCAACCAATAATAACTATAAACCCTTAGAGTTTTGATAATAGAATACTACATGAAAAACATGTTGAACATGTGACTCCATACACAAGAAGGGGTGAATTGTTGAGGTTTGAAAAATTATAGTTTAAAACAAAATTATATTTTAAAATAGAGTTTGAAAATATTTTAATAAGTTTTTTTTTGAATATGCAACAAAAATTAAGTGAAAATAAAAGAGTTGAGGAAAGAGAGATAACACCAAAGATTTATAGAGGTTTGGTCTTAAGTGATCTACTTCTCTTCCTAAAAAATGATATTGAGAGTATCCAATAATGATTGATAACTTTTACAAGGTTAAACCAACAAATCCCCTTATACAAGGAAAATAAAGTTCCAGATTAACTTCCAACTAAACAACAACGGAGGAATGAAGCAGTTAGTCTTAATGCCAAACAATAAACAAAGTTTTGAGTAGTTAGTCTCTAAGTTAAACTGAGATTTTTCACAAGATGACCTCGAAGCAAGTTGAATTTTTGATTTGGCTATCCATCAGACTGAACTGAGGTTGACCATGAATTGACCTGATACTTTTACCAGATGATCTCGAACCTATCGAGCTTTTAGACTACTGAACTCACAAACTGAGTGAGATTTTATTTCAAGATAATCTCAAACTAATAGATCTTTTAACTGAGTTGAGCTCAAGAACACTTGTGAAGATTTTTCTCTAGGTATTCTTCATGAACCCAAAAGGAGAGTTTTTCTTTAATAGTTAAGCTCACAAACCAAACAGAGAGTTACACTAATCCCTCAATGAGCTTTTATGCAGGTTTAGCTTGAAACTAAAATAATTAGAATTATTTACTAAAAAGGAATAAGAACTATTGATAAATTTACAATGAAGTCTTTACCTAGAACAACTTCCTCATTAAACTCAAGAGCGCTCTCAAAGTGCTATGCCTAAAAGTATGTGAGAGAAAGAGAAATATTTTAGAGATATTGAGAGAAAGGATAAAACTGAGTTATTCAAATTTTTATAGATGACTTGAAATGAAAGGGAAGTACTCTATTTATAGGCTAAAAACTGGTGAAAAAATGGAAACAATATGTTGGTCAAGTAAATGACCTAATCAATTAGATAACTAATTATGTACTTACAATAATGGATTATTGTTGCCCAAATTGAAAGATTTTGATACAGATGTGTTACCATTCATTAATACATTATTAGGATCAATCATGGACTTACTCATCTAATTGATTAGGAAATTGTTTTGATTGATTAGACAATTCAAAAACTTGTCTTAATCAATTTGACAATCTCCAAAATAATTGGCTAGACACCAAAAACATTTTTGGTGATTTTATTTGAAAAAAGTGGCTTCAAAAATATTTTTTAGTGTGTGTGCGTATGTTTTATTCATTAATACTTCCAGAAATGCCCTTGTGTCTTTACAATATTCTGATCACTCATACAGACGCGATCAGGCGAACTTTCACATTTCTCTCTTTTACGCTCTGAAGCTTCAAGTCCTTTTTCTAGATATACCAATCATATAAGAAATTCAATTGAATCTTATTGAAGCGTGAGATATCTTAAAGTTATTCACTATTAAGAGAGAGTAAATATATCACAGGTGATCGTAAATCCTAATTCTTTAGCTTGATTAAGAGGAATAGTTTGATCAACCACTTTATTCATCTTTGACCACTTGAAATAACTTTAGTACTTATTTGTCTTCATACGTTATTTCCATCAAAACCACTTCAAGAGTTATTATAGCTTCGAGTGTTGTCGTGATCAAAACAATGATATTATCGGGGCTAATCATATCTTGCTTATCTATGAGCTTTGATCACTTTCTAATTATACATGAAAGCACATAGTTCCTCAAAACTCACGCACAACATGCCTATAAAAAACATGTCCATATCCATATCATACTACTAGCAAGATCCATCCAATCTAACTTAGCAAGAACATCTAGCTTCCACCATAAGTTTCTCGACCTTATAACATCTAATAAGATGCAAAAAATTTAACGTCAATCCAAAATGATTGAGGTATTGGCCAAATTTAGAGCCTTTGTGAACTAATTATGACATTAGAATGAGGCCTTGAAGACACGGGTTCTGGGAATTCATTAAGAGAGATCCATACACTACAACAAATAATGCTTTTTATGATGAAGCTAACACCTCGAACAATAAAAAATGAGGGTATAGGTACTAGGAGTGCCATGTTTCATTTTTTTAAATAAACAACCATTTACCTCAATTTTAAGAAAAGTGAGGGAATAGAGATATAAGGGAGCTAGATTTGACACCCAGTTGTTGCCTTTTATGTTTTTTTAGTTGTTTAGTTTGTATTTCTCACTTGACGCCTTTCCAAGTTCCATTTTTATCATTATTATTTTTTATTAGTATCTACCTCGACTATATGGTCCAACTGAGAGGTAATATATTTTTCATTAATCAATTTCAAAATTCTATTTTCAAAATATTATTTTAGTTTTTTATTTAAAATGTTCAAACCCCTCAGTTATATAAAAAATTGACGTTATATATCTTTTAATTGAATTCGCAGAATATGACGCTATTATGTTTTTTTTATATTTTATACTTTTGATAAATATTGTCACGTCAGATTTTATATAAAACCGACGTGACCCATATATTACATGAAATACTTCAGACTACAATCTAGTTAATTTATAACTTTTCATTTACCTATCAACGCTCAAACGTCATTTCGTCACTCTCTGTTGCGGTGGAAATAGGATAACAAACTATTAATTAGTTTGAATCACAATTCTTAATTCACAACCTCTCTTTGATTTATCCGAAGGAAAAGGTCAAAAGAGGAAAACCTAATTTTGCATTGTAAACACAATGCGGGGAGAGACCTAGGTAAGGGGTTGGTTAAGCTTAGGGAAAGTACTAGTATCCTAAACTTTTGTAGTACTCTACCTGACCCTTTTGTTTATTGTATGCTTTTTTATTTTTATTATCTGTTTGAAATATATATTGAGCTAAGGGATAAAATGACCTAAAAGACCTAAGGGTTTAGTCCTAAGTTTACTCGGCAAGATATCACATCTTGTGCCTACATATCCTGACGGGAATGGAATCAGAGTAATTGTAGTTCCCCTCGAAAGGGAGGTTAGAAACGTCTTGACTGTAGTCAAGGTTTCAAGGGGAGTAAGCATTCTTAAGGAAGCGCTTACGTGGAGTCTTGAAACTCCTATTTCTATGTTGAAGTAGTTAATTGAGATTAGGGTTGACATTAGGTATTCCACGGCGGGAACCCCTAAAACAGAGTACGGCGACTCCTTGACCTAATGCTAGAGTAAAGGGTATTTCCGTCCTCGGTGGGACACCTAGTCTATTAGGATTTTGGAAACGGTCAAGGGTTAAGACTATTGACTCGGAGGTCAAACGGCTAGACCTAATTCCTTCGCAAGGTGATTGACAGTAAATAACATGGATGATGAATTATTACATGGCATGAATAAAAGTATGAAAAATAATGAAAACTGTAAAGAAAAGCGTCGCGATGATCACTCGTGTAAATTACAAATCCCAAAAAAAATGCAGAAAGTAAAAGATCGCGACGATTACTCGCATAATTACAACTGAAACAAATGCTAACATGAACAAAATGAAATATCGGCAAGCTGAAGCACACAACTGACGAGGGTTAGACAAGATTGAAACGATGAAATCGAGAAGTTTATTTTTGGATTTTTATTTAAAAGAAAGAGTTCATTTTTGCATTTTAAAAAAAAGAAGAGTTATCTTAACTTTAATATTTTTTACTAAAAGTTTTGTTCTAAGTTTATTAAAGAGAAATGTTTTAACTTGAAGGTTTTTAATGAAAAAGAATGTTAGTTTTAATTTCGTAAAATGTGTTAATTTTTATGCTAAAATAAAATGTTTT